GATGCTTATCAATTGAGTGAACATAGAAGTTGGTCACCAGCGCTAAAATGAGGCCGAGAGGTAAGGTGTGGAAGATAAGGGGGGGGGGGCTCTCAGATGACCAGCTTTACAAACCACCTTCCTTTTAACAAAGGTGATAGGATTTGTTCTTTAGGTCTGAAGATTAATTGATTCATCTGCTGCATCAAAAGGAAACCACAGTGAATTAAATGACCATGCTCCTCATAGGCTCTGCTGTTTGGACACTCCATCTCCAGGCAGTGGTACTGTTAACAGGGGCAGCTGGCTTCTCATAGGCTCCGCTGTTTGGACACTCCATCTCCAGGCAGTGGTACTGTTAGCAAGGGCAGTCTTGCTGGAGGAAGAGCATCATCCTGAGGTCCGCTTTGTGTGTTCACAGCCTCTCGCTACTTTCTGTTTCCCGTCTCAGCTTCACACTTGTGTTTGAAGATTCCTACTCCTGCTGCCACATCTCCTCACCACACTGGACTCTTAGATATACCTTCAAAGGGACCAATGGTTTGAAAATATGATTTTGCTAAAAATCTGTGTGAATCCTCTAAACAGAAATGATCTCATAACAAAGATGTGGTATACATAGCCATGTTTTAGTAATACGTCGAGAGCCTTATTTACTCTCTCCTTGCTGGAAGAAAATACCCTGAAAAAAATATCTTAAGAGAAAAGTAGAGTTTTTTTGGCCTGCATTTCCAGGGGGGCACAGTCCGTCATTGCAGGAACACAGTGGCAGAGACAGGGAAGGTGCTGGTGGGAGCAGGAGGCTGACTCGTCACATTGAACCCGAACTCAGGAAACGAAGAGTAAAGTGGAGGTAGACCTAAGCTATCCAGACTCAAGGCTCACTCCCAGTGACACTCTTTCTCCAATGAGGCTCCGCTTCTTAAAGGTTCCAAGAACTTCCCAAACTGCACTACCAGCTGGAGATCAGACTCATGAGTCAACGGGAGGGCATTTCCACCCAAATCCCTACAGCAATGCCCCATGAAGGAATTTAACTTTGTGTATAGTAATGTTGATTCTTATATAAATAAATGTATTGTAGTGCACAAATCATATATGCATATGGAATTTCACAGTTTCCTGGTGGTGTTCAGTGACCTCATCTTCCTTTAACTCTGAGTAGGGCATTCTAATCACACTTGCTTCCCTATGGGGCACTGAGAAGTTGAGGTGCCTGGGAAATGGGACTCTAAATCAGATGAGCTTATCACTGGGTTTCATCCAGCTAATGTCCTAATCAATCCTTTCACTTACAGTAATACTTTTCATTAATATGAACAGGGGTGTGGCAGCTCACTAATATACGTAGCCACAGCAATATGCAAGGAGATACATCAGAAAACAGCATGGAAGGCCTTTCTAAAGACACGCCCTCAAAATCCTAAGAGTCACATGATTTGTCTCATGTATAGTATGCTAGAAGGAGATCCCTTAATATTCTGGGCAGCCCCAACTGTTGCCCAGCATCCTGGACCTAAATAGACAAAGGATATGATTACCCCATTAGTATTAGCTAGATAACACCCATAGGTTTTTCTCGTTGAAAGCTTTGGTGTAGTGTTACTGTTCGCTGGTGTGTTAGCATTGCCGGCAGAGTGTTCTCAGGCACTTGAGAGCATTTATTGAAATGAAGTGAGATGAATTTCCTCTGTGAGTTCAGCAGTTAAGAAAATGAAGGAGCAAGCAATGTCAGGTAAAAGTCATCTCATTGTGTTTTTCCTAAGTCCTCAAGTTGTGCTTTGGAATTTGGGGTGTTGCTAAGTAGGTGTATAGACATCAATTCCTTAATTTTTTCTGCTAATAAAATAGGTCTTTATTGTTAAGACCAAGTTAGACAGTTAAACAAATTGCCCCTTGTTTTGTCCATGGAAGCACTGGAAATCTAGAATTGCCAAGGTGTAGACAAGTCCATGAACTCTGGTGGGGGAGACAAGAATGAAAACGGGCTGGGAGTTGAGTGGGTTATTCTTCCCGGGTCGCAGAGGGTGTTCTGTCCCACAGCATCGTGCACGGTATGGCCTCCCTGCGGAGTGAGGGAACAGAGCATAGGGGCCTGTGACATCTGCTCCCCTGTCCTGTAGCCTGGTGATTGGGACTTAGAGGCTCAGCTACTTTCCAGCACCATGTCTGCGTGCATGCCTCCATGTCCCCCCATGTTGACAGTGGACTGAATCTCTGAACTCTTAAGCCAGTCACTTCAGTTGAATGTTTTACTTGATAAGAGTTGCCGTGGTTATGGTGTCTCTTTACAGCAATAGAAATCCTAACTAAGACACTCTTCGTTTTTTTACCTCACACAGACAAGTTCCTGACTGTGCTTAGTCACACACCTGACGAGGCCACTTGGACATCTGAAGGTCACAGCACCCTTGATGTTCTCAATGCTGACTTCTTTTTTTTTTTTAAATATAATTTTTTTATTGAAAAAATAAGATTTCCGCCTCCTCCCCGCCTCCCATTTCCCTCCCCGTCTCCCTTTTCCCCCCTCCTCCCTCTCCTCTCCTCCTCCCCTCCACTCCTCTCCCCCTCCCTCTCCAGTGACTTCTTAATCAGTCCCCAGACACACTCCTACTGTGGTCTATAGCCCAGGAAGCAGTTGGTCCTATGTGAAAACAAAACTCTTGGCACCATTTCCTATTCCTCTTTTTTTCTCTTTTCTCTCCTTTGTGCCAGTGGGCTCTGCACATCCTTAAGTTCCCACATTCTCAGCTCCTCCAGGAATCTGCTCAAGGGTTTCCTATGCACGGTGGCTGATCACCCGCTGACCTTTGCAGCTCCTCTCAGGAGTGAGTCCGGACCCTCTTACGCCTATGCCCTGTTTCTCTCCACAGATCACCTCACCATCTGCCCCACAGTTCATTCCCCTCGCTTTCCTTTACCCTTCTGTGTTACAGAGTGTAAGTGCCCAGGAAACACGGGTTTTGCTTTGTCCCTACCCCTCACATGTCACAGAAAACATTGTGGAATATACAAACAAGCCGACATGAGCATCAGTCCCCAGCTTTCCGTCTCACCGATGGGAGATATCGCTGTGTTTTGAGTGTTGATTCCAAATCTTCTTTTTAGGAATGACTAAGAAAAATATGCATTGCTCTAAACCAAGCTGCTTTCCCTTGCCTGTCTCCCCTCATGCACCTCACTCAGGAGCAGTTTACTGGGCTGATCTCTGCTGTGGAAATGCAGTTCTTTTCTCCCAGTAGGCAACTGCTTAGACATTGCACTCCAAACACCACATATTTATCACCAATATTTACATAGCTCTGGCTGTTCATTTTACCACTAGAAATCAAGAGAATAAAATCTTCTCACATTGGACTAAGTGCCTCCTTCAGCTACCAATGAAAGCAGAGACTCTTGGGGATTTTTTTCCTAGCTGAGTTATTACTTCATGCCTAGGCAGGAGCCTTTTATTGTATATTCATGAGCTAATTCCATTTTGTCTTTGGTATAGTCTGTATCATTTGCGTGGATCGCATACAAATGGATCACATGCAAATGACGTGGCCTATCAATCTGACTGTTTTCTAGACCAGTTATGTGTCTATTCAAGGTCTTTTCCCCAAGTACTCCGAAGACTGTGTTCTGTTCCAGCAGCTTCAAGGAGCCTGGGTCCCCGGCAGTTCTTGCTGACCCAGCTAGAAGAGGCCAAATGATTCATTTCACGTTCAGGGACTATTACTGGGTTTCCATATTCCCTGGCTCTATAAATAGCGCTCCAGGGAGCACTCAGCCACACAGAACATTTTCTTTGTAGTCTAGCTCGATATTTGCAGAAGAAAGTCACATGCTGTCTGGTTTGACACAAGTCACCTGTCCCTTAATGGCTCCCAAGTTCTAAACAGAGCCACCCAGAGTGTTCTGCTCACAGCAGCGTGTTTTCTTCCAGCAAACACTGTCGCCCTTGTTTGTACTGCGTCCCCTGCCTGGCAGGATCCTGAGTATTCGTGTGTGTGTGTGTGTGTGTGTGTGTGTGTGTGTGTGTGTGTGTGGAGTGTCTGAGGGCCAAAGGTCAGCGCTGGGTATCTTTTTCAATTGCTTTACATCTTGTTTTGGGGGAAGGATCTTGCACTTAGCCTGGAGCTCATGAGTTGGATGGGCTACCTGGCCAGTGAGCTCCAGAATCTCCTTGTCTTCAACCCCCGCCCCACCCCACCCCCGCCGCTGGGGTTCCAAGCACATACAGTCACATTCTGCTTTTTCATACAAGTTGTACAGCTCGCGTTCAGGATTCACACTCGCTAGGCAAGCACTTGACTGCCTGAGCAGTCTCCCTAGCCCTCTACTGATCCTTCAAGTGCTAAAGCTTTGTCTGAGGGCCGGAGTGTCACGTAGCACTTACTGAGGCTTCCTTCCTCCTTGGTGAAGTCAGCAACTTCATGGTACAATTTAGCTGGTGGCTGAAGTTCACACTCTTGCCCCTCCTTTCTCTCTTCATACCCCACACTGGGAATCTTGACGCCTCAGACTTCTGTGTCCTCGCTGTCTCCAGCAGTTAACATAAGAAATACCCCTACGCTGTTGGGGAGTGGATGGCCCATGGTGTCTTTGCACTCACATGGAGAACAGAACTCATTTGGCTTTATTTCCTGTCTAAGGCCTTTAGAAGCAATCCTGTGTTTAGTTTGGACTTTTCTGTTTTCCCTCGCAAACACCTTGTGCTGTATGCTAGGCCAATTTGAGAAGGAAAACAAAACAAAACAAAACAAAGCAATAATGCAGCTACATTTAAATATCTTCCAGGGACTTTTTGTTTGTTTGCTTTGCTTTACTCCCCACCCCCACCCCGTGCCCCTTTTTCACCCCTAAGAAACAGGCCAGATTGTTCCTCAGCAATTCAGTGACGGCCTCCTTCTTCCCAGGGTTCTTTTTGGCCCTGCCAAGTCTGCCTTCAAATTCCTCAGGTCTGCTGCTGTCAATAATGATTTCTGAGCGCTTGTGTGTCCTTTGCAGTGAAAACCCGCCTTGTTTTCTGTTGCTAGGCAACCCCCTTCCAGCTGCCATTGAAGAAATGCGCGGTGGTGGGAAACGGTGGGATTCTGAAGATGAGTGGCTGTGGCCGTGACATAGACGAAGCAGATTTTGTCATGCGGTAAGAGAGCACCCACAGCGTGGCCTCTGAGTCCTCTCTTTTGTCCCACCCTTCCATAAGCCCCCGGCCTTTCAAACCTAGTGGCTTGCAATTAATCGCCTGTCGCCTGTCTTTAGTTTCTCTTCAAGCCCATAGACAAGTGAGGTTATGAGTGCCCTAAGGGGAGCAAGGGGACTTTCCCCAAGGAATCTCAAAGCTGAGAAGGCTGGGCAGTACAGAGGTAGCTCTGCTGCTCATGAGGGCAGGGAGGAGAGCGAGGGCGAGGATCTTCCCTGAGATTGTCTACTTGGGTGATTAAAGCCTTGCAAACTGCTCTTTCCTCAGGGCTGACTCCACATGAATAAACATTTTAGTCACTGTGAGGGTACCCTGCTCTTCTTAGCTTTCCCCAGAGGCATTTGAAAGCAGCGAGTGGGATCTAAAGATGGGGTTTTGGTCTGAGTTGTGACTATGAACGTGGCAAGAAGGATCAGCGAGTAAACCACATCAGAAGGAATCTTGATCAAGGGACTGAGCAGCATGGGGAGGTGGGGACACAGACCTGAGTGGTGGTAAAGGACAAGAGACCCCCTTCAGGGCAGTGATAAAAACTGCTAAACCTAACCAAGGGAAGACACCATCCAACTGTAAGTCTGGGCAAATGCTGAGGAGGAGGCCTGTAGAGCCCGGCTTATTGGAGACACAGTGTGGGAAAAGGAAAGCATGTCTCATTGAGGAAGCAAAAAGAACACTGAGAGGCTGGTGGGATCTTTCAGGTGAACCCCCAAATTTCAAGGATGTAGGAATGACTATGAACCAGGAACCCAAGAATTCTGGAACCAGATAGAGACTTAAGTTTGATTCCTGGCATCTACCTTAAAGGCTGGGTGCAGACCAGTAGCCTTTACATGTACAACACACACACACACACACACACACACACCCCATGGAGTCACATGTAGGGTGGGGGTGGTGCTCTAAGAATTCTAATATAACATGGAACTCTACATTATTTGAGTGTTTCGGGTGGAGCCATTTTCCTAGAGTTTGCCACATACCCTCTCAGAAGAGAGTTATTTTGCCACCAAGGCATGTTGTCTCCCTTGGTGAAACTTGTAGCAGTGGGGTGTGGGATGTAGGTATGGACCTTGGGGTGCCTTCGATCCCTGCCTTTCCTTCAAGAGTACTCTAATGTCATTTTCCACTGTAGGACTACGTTTACTTCTTGGCTACTATTTATTTCATTTGACTTTATTTTTGCAATGTATACGAATATTGGGGAAAGGAGTGGACAGCTTTTCATTTAAGACCATGAGTGCAACACTCGATGCAGAAGAGGCCCTGGAGCCAAATCCTTTCCTTGTTCCACCGCAGGCTGAGGAACAAGGTTTAATAAACTCTAAAGCAGAGAACTTCACGAAGCAGCCTTCTCTACAGCTCCAGTTAGTGTGGCTTGGGTATCACGAGACATGGGAGAAGGTGTAGGAGAAATAAGAACATCATAGGAGTGGAATAAATCTCACAGAAGGCAGAGGCACGTGAGGGTACAGGGAGCCTCAGTGATGTCAGGCACCTACTCCAGTCCCTGGGTTTTCACATGAGGCTGAAATGCTAATGAAGAACCTAGGGTTGGGAGAACATGCCAACTGCACGGTTGACCAGGCTGGTGCACTACACTGTATTTCGTTACATCTGCCTAGGCCATTAGAGGAAGGATAAGGAGACATCCCTCAGTCGATTCTGATTTTATACATGCTTTCTATGAATACTGTGTCATTGTTGTATTTACGTCCTTTCCAAACCTGCAAGCTTCCCTGAATCACAGTTGAGGAGCTCCTCTAAACGCTAAATGAAGCAGTGTTAGCAGAGGTTGCAAGGCAGCAGCCTGGTCCAGCAGCTCCAGCAGGCTGCACATAACCGAGTAGCTCCATGATTCTGTCCGCCACTGACCCATCATTGTCTCAGCTCTCACCCTGACCCACAAACCAATTCTTAAGTCTTCCCTTAAATTGCTAGCCTGCTCACCCTGGAGGGTACATTCTTGCCCTCATAGATCACTATCCTCATCTGGGGTGGAGGCGGCCTGTCCTATGAGGTTTTATTTGCCTGGAACTTAAGGTGACTCAAGAGAAGGGCTAAGAACAGTAACATTTCTGCTTTAGCACTCAAAGAGTGGGCACAAGATGGGAGGAGACACTAGTCTCTCCTCTTGCTCTCAGTTACCCTATAGCCCAAGGGGGAGTCAAGCTTTTTGGCAAAAACAGATTCTACTGCTGCTGCTGCTGCTGCTGCTGCTGCTGCTGCTGCTGCTGTGTGTGTGTGTGTGTGTGTGTGTGGCTACCATTAGGAAGATGAATATTTTTAACCTCACATGTAAAAGAGCCAGCCTAAGCACCACCAGGGATTATCTTGTGGTGCCCCATTTATCCCAAATAAACACGACTAGGTTGGCCTTTTACACGACCTGCTGTTGATACATCTATACAGGTTCAGAACTGTTGAGTGCCTGGGGCATTAGACTGCACGTGGTCTGGGCAAATGCAGTGGGGGGAAGGGGTCTTCACATAGTCTTGCCTGTACAGTGTACCCAGATTATAGCTGAAAATGTCCTCCAGGCATGTTCTTCAACCATCCCATAATGTTCTTTGCATAGACATTTTTTTAAACATATCCTTCAAAATGTTAAAAACCAACTTCCCATTTTTCAAAGTGCACATTTATTCTTTAACCAAAAGAAGCACTTTAAAAATAATCTCTGGGGCTCAGTGGGTAGGGTACTTGCATAAAAACTGGACTTGGTAGGACACACTTCTAGCCCCAGCACTAGAGAGGTGGATGGGAAATTTAGGGTCATCCTTGGCTACACAGGGAATTGGAGACATTCCCGGGCTACAGGAGACCCTGTCTCAGAACAACAACAAATTCTTGAATTCAGTTTCTCTAGGACATTTAGGAGGCAGGAGTAGTAATAGGTACACGCTGAAGACTATTGCATGTGTAAGGATTACACACTGAAGATGACTGCATGTGTACTGATTGCACGCTGAAGACAACTGAGTGTGTAATGATTACACACTGGAGACAACTGTGTGTGTAATGATTGCACACTGAAGACTACTGCATGTGTAATGATTACACACTGAAGACGACTGTGTGTGTAATGATTACACACTGAAGACGACTATGTGTGTAATGATTACACACTGAAGACGACTGTGTGTGTAATGATTACACACTGAAGACGACTATGTGTGTAATGATTGCACACTGAAGACAACTGTGTGTGTAATGATTGCACACTGAAGACCGACTGTGTGTGTAATGATTACACGCTGAAGACAACTGTGTGTGTAATGATTACACACTGAAGACGACCGTATGTGTAATAATTACACACTGAAGATGACCGTGTGTGTAATAATTACACACTGAAGATGACCGTGTGTGTAATGATTACACACTGAAGACTAATGCATGTGTAATGATTACACGCTGAAGATGACCGTGTGTGTAATTACACGCTGAAGACAACTGTGTGGCTCAGAGCCACAGCATGGCAACAGTTTTGGAGCCTTTCAGATTATGTGCAGAGGAATATTCTGCATGCTCACACACACACACACACACACACACACACACACACACACACAACTGTTTTTCCCGAGTGGCGTCTTCTGTTCACCATGTCCCTTTCTCATCCGTCTCCCTCTTCTGCTCTTGGATCTCTTTCAGGATCACGAGCATCACTGTTTTGGAAACACTTTAAACAACTAATATCTCTCTCAATTGTGCCAACAAGCAATAATGTGAAATTTGGGACACTTTATACAATTATGCCTTATTAGAAGCAATTTGACTGTATTAAATGGGCCTTTTATGTAAATCCATGTAATTATCAATTTAGGAATTGAGGAGCTAAGCGCATAGTGCACTTTTCCTAAGGAAAGAGACGCAGGGAAGTGCCCCTGCTATTGTGCTGGAAGAGTGTTTACTGACCAGAAGGCAGCTGGTTCACTATGCAGTGTCAGCATATTCCAGCAAGCCGCATGTGAAGTCTGCCTTGTTATCAGCACCCCTCTGTTACCGGGAGAAAAACAGTTCTGCAAATCTTATTGTTGTTTTGGTTTGGATTTTTATTTGTTTGTTTATTGACTCTGTTTATTGATTGACAAAATTTTTCTTGAGATTTTACTCTGTGGTAGAAGATATAAATGGATCCAGTTATATGAAGCATGTAACACAGAAGAAGAAAAATATTTGTAGTTGAAAATTAATTTGCTATTGGCAAAACAGGTTATGAAGACTCCCTAGCAAAGTGCAGAACCTGTAGTTGATTCTCAGATGTTAGCAAGGGCAGTCAAGATCAAAGTGTCCTTAAGAGGCCTTTGTTTTATTTGGGAAGCCATCTTGTCTTTGCAAAGGTTAGTTAGACAGAGCAATAACAATCAGATCCACACTACCGCTTGATGGGAACTGGGTTTTGATGACTTAGTCCACCCTTCTGCACAACCCCCCAGGAAACCACATGGGTATGGTGTCACCATGAGCTTGTAGATGCTTCCACAGTAGGCTTTGTGACCAGTTCCTCCCCAGCTTCCTATGGTGACCACCGTTTGCTTTCAATGGATATTCAATAGCTGGCTGACCTGTGTGTGGTTACCAGAACATTCAGCTTTTGTATTACTCACAAGCAGATGAAAGGGAGACTTTTAATCAACACGGAGACGTTTCTGCCTGGATGGCCTGGTGTGGCAGGAGTCACGAGGCTTGTAAGAAAGAGAAGCTGACCATGGGAGCAGGTCAGCTGATAGGTGTGTGGGCAAGTTCAGCTCCTAGAGCACACTGGTAGGGAAAATTTAGCAGTTCACAGAGACCACAATATTTGTAAAACTCATCTTTATCTATAAATAAACCATGCAAAGTGGACGTGCTCTGATGTGGCAGGAGTCAAGTCGTATATGTGGTCGGAGAGGAGAGACTCAGCTTTTAATACAAATGCACAATTGGGTTCCTGTGTTCTTTCTGACAGGACGGTTTTGAACTTTGGCTGTATAAACATCAGAGACAGTTATCAGAGTTCTCTTAGTTCTCACTATGACCCAGGAAGGCACACAAAGTTGTTATCCTAGTGTTAGGTCATGGAGGAACTATGGCCAGGGAACTGCAGGAACCTCCCGATGCCACCAGGCAGGAAGTCACAGGTTTGGATGTGACACAATTGTGTTTCCCACTGTGTGCAGTCAAGGCATTGTGACCAAAGGAGACTGTTAGGGCCGGGATGGAGTTTGGGGTTACAAGTGGGTTGATTGCTTTCTCTCATGAGAATACAGCACTGTTCAGACCAGGAAGGTGGCTCAGCTGGTGAAGTACTAGCCACACAAGCTTGAGGATGTGAGTTCCACCCCCCTAGTGCCCCGTGAAAATAGCAAAAGACAGGCATGTAGGCATGTGCCCATAATCCCAGTGCCGTGGAAGCAGAGGCAGGAGGATCCTGGAGCTCACTGGCCAGCTAGTGCAGCCAGGTCAGGGAGTTCCAGGTCCAGTGAGGGACAGGGATTGAGGAGGACACTTATTGTTGACCTCTGCTCTTCACATGTGTGCACACATGTATGGATATGCACTTGTACAGTATATGCATGTGCGAGCACACACACACACACACACACACACACACACACACACACACACACACACACACTGCTTTTACTTTTGCCCTTGGCAGAGCAGAAATGGTACAGAATGCCACCATTCTTTGGGTACAATGCCCTGTCATCGCATTAACCCACTGACACCTTGGTCACATATACAAAAATCCTTCATGCATTAGGTTAGCTGAGTAGTAGATGACCCAGAAAGTGCTGCTATAATGTAAATTTCTGGAAAATAGAGAAAAACACAGGAAACAACCCAATCCATCAGTGTTTTATAAAAACTGATGTACGTAGAGAATGTGGGGTGGGGCACCTGCCCTCTACCTTCTGCGCCTTCATTCCAAGTTTAAAGTACTCTGTTCCACACTTCAAATGCGGTTTCTTTTTCATCATCTATAAAAATTCATCTTATTTTATAACGATGTTTGCAAGCTTGTGTCAGTTCATATGTATTACACGTGTGCAGATGCCAGCAAAACCCAGAAGACAACACTAGAGCTCCTAGAATTGGATTGACAGGCAGTTGTGAGTGGCCTTGTGGGTGCTGAGTCCTGTGTCCTATGCAAGAGCATTAAGTACTCCTAACGGCTGAGCTGCCTCTCAGGCCCCTATTTTATTAATTAATTGCTGTAAGACGATGGTCTTTTATCCTGTCACTTGCATTATTTTTAATAAAATGCTGATTGGCCAGTAGCCAGGCTGAAAGTATTGGCAGGGTGACCAGGCAGGAAGTAAAGGCAGAGCAACGAGAATTCTGGGAAGAGGGAAGGGCTTGAGGTGACCCAGACGCAGAGGAAGCAAGATGAGAATGCCTCGACATTTAAGGTACCAAGCCACGTAGCTAACATAGACAAGTATTATGGGCTAATGTAAGTTATAAGAGGTAATAAGAAGCCTGAGATACTGGACCAATCATTTTATAATTAATGTAGACTTCTGTGTGATTTACTTGGGACTTAACAACTATAGGAACCAGGCAGGACAGAAACATCAGCCAACAATTAATTCATTCATTCATTCTACTTATTTTTCTTATTTATTTATTCATTCATTTTATCTATATATATTATCTATCTATCATCATCTATCTGTCTATCATCTATCTGTCACATACCTATCATCTATCTGTCTATCTATATCTATCTATCTGATACAAGGTTTCATGTAGCCCAGGCTGACCTCAAACTCGCTGTGTAACCAAAGTTACTTTGGGCTCTGTATCCTCTACCTCCCAAGTATGGGATTGCAGGTGTAGAATACCATACTTCAGATATATTTTTAGTAAAACAGAGACATCGTTGTTATTGTCTCTTTTCTTTGGTAGATCATCTACTTCTGTCACTGACATTTGCTTCTAAAACAGCAACAATGCCCCCCCCACAATCTCTCTCTCTCTCTCTCTCTCTCTCTCTCTCTCTCTCTCTCTCTCTCACACACACACACACACACACAAATCACATAAGCCCCAGGACTTTGGTAATGCTAAAAGTTAAATATTAAATAGTCATCTAATGCTCATGAAAGGGAAAGGTGCTGAAAACAGTTATTTGTGAATTGAGCCAGAATTAACCTTCCTCTTTGGGTCCTTATCATCGACTTGATTTAAAAGTACATGAGTCATTCTGAAGCATTCCTTTTTGTGTTTCTAGATGCAATCTCCCTCCCTTGTCAAGTGAGTACACCAGAGATGTCGGCTCCAAAACTCAGTTGGTGACAGCTAATCCCAGCATAATTCGCCAGAGGTAAGCCTGAAGGTTTCTGTCTTTGTGGGGACTGAAGAGGAAGGTCTGTGAAGTCATCAGCGTCTTAAAGGGAGTGAGCATAAGTCAGCCTCGGAAACAAAGAGGGAAGCCATCTGGACAGGCAGGAAGGATGGAGGAGGGAATGGTAAATAAGCCAGGCAGTGTGGCGGGCAGGCTGGGGATTTCATGCTTCCTCTCTCTGTTAGAGATGGTGGAAAGGACAGGGGGATCGATTGTTTTGCTGGGAGCACCGCATAGCATCCTGCCCACTCAATACTACTCACATCCAGCATGCTGGCCCTGGTCTGACTTTCCGGTCAGCAATTGTGAACTGACTTGTTAAACTAAAAGCAAAGAAACGACCAGTTTGCCACATGCACACAAAACGGCAATGCTTTCAGAATGTACAAGAGCGTGCGGTTATATTAGATTGACTATACCATCTCAAACTTTGGAGGGCAGAAGGAAAATTCTTTGTGGTATCAATTTCAGAATACTTGGCAGTCACTATGGGAGCATTTGGGGGGTCAGTCTCTCATGAATGAAACCTACTGGTGAGCTAAGACTGTTTAGAAAGAAAGAGTAGGGGACCTACCCGTGGGTCTGACCTACTGGATTTGAAGTGTGTTTGTTCAAGTATCCTTCAAAATAATTTAAGAAATGCCATCCTTTTCTTAACTGTTATCAGATTGTTTAGCACTCCTGGCAGGAGTTAAATTGCAGCTGTTCAGTTCCTTATGTGTTATTTATGTGCTCTATGTGCCCATTGTCAAATCTCAGAGTGGTTTTTGGTATGATCTGTCGTGATGTGAAAACCCGGGTCAGATTACTTCTGTCACAAAGGAAGTGTCACTGGATAGAATCCTCTCGCTGACACCTAATTAGTCAACATAAAATAAGGTGTGGGGACCGCCCAGTGTCTGTCCCTGAATAAGATGAAGTACAACATATTCTGGTTTCCTCTAGAGATATTCCTGTCCCACCCCTACTCAGGGGAAGACTCCTCTGTTATGAATGTGTCCTTTTGTGGCCTGGAGGTTTCTGCAACACCAGACTTCATCCATCAACAACTGTTGTCTTTCTGTTTCTTCTCTACGTTTCTCATGTGTATGTGAGTGTGTTTCCACACCCACACACAGAGACACATATACACACAAACACACAGAGACATACACACATGTACACACATACACACATGCAATAATACATACATATACAACACACACATACATGCATGTACACACACAGACACACACATGCACACACTCACACATATGCATACACATGCACACACACACATGTGGAGGCCAGAAGTCAACACTGTATGCATTTCTCAATTACTTTTCCATCTTATTTTATGACAAAAAAATTTCTGATTTCTAACTAAATTTAGAGGCTGCCAATTAGCTGGATTGACTGGCTAACCAGCAAAGTCACATGGTTCTCACACCCCTGTCTCCCAAGTGCTAGGGTTACACGTCCCCACTACTGCACCTGGCTTTTATGTGGCACTTAGGATCTGAACTCAGGTCCTTCCTGGTGGGAGCAAGCACTTCACGGGTGAGCCATTTCCCCCGCTTCCTAGCAAACATTTTATGTCTGTACTTTACAAAAGTATTCTGATTTTTAAGGAAAGCAACTTGGGCTTATATAAGAAGATCAGAAGAGTATCTCTCTGAAGTTTACGTGTTTTAGATGGAGTTCCTGAAACTTCTGCCCCTTCTGCTGGGCTTTGTCTTTCTCTTATCTTCAAACACAGAGCAGTGTTTCACTGCTAGCATCAAGGATTAGCCATTCAGTTGGATTAGAAAGCAGACCTAAAGCTAGGATTGAATGCAGTAGAGATGAGAAAGAAATGCCAGGATTGAGCACAGCAGTGATGAAAATGCCCCTAGGAGGCTATGAAATTGAGATAATACAACACAGTCAATGAGATCAATCTGCCTGATGTCTCAGATTATTCCTCCAGTGGACCTCCTGCTGCAATAAATCTTGTTCTTGGGTTAAATGTACTTTTCAATACATTATTAAACACATGAGAAAGTTCAAGGGCATCTACATGCTTCCCCTAGCCTCCTCAAATCCAAATACAGAACAGAAAGTAGGATCCTAAAACCTGTAAAGATCACACACTGAAGCTTAGAAAAAGAGGCCAGGCCCTAGACTCCAAGTGCCCTCCCTGCAGTGAACCTGAACAGTGGTTTTACGTGGTTGAAGGTCAGGAGAAGCCATCAATGCCCGATAGAAGCTAATGTAAATTCACCTGGAAAAATGCTCTCAGAGTTCTCACCATGTTCAAACAAATGTGGTTTCATAAAGCAAGCCCTTCCGTGCTCTGGACATTGACAATGATCATCTTTAGCAACAGACGGCAAACAAAATAATCACCCATACAAATGCCTGAGAACTTAGAACATTGTCAGGTATGCTAAGTTACAAAACATGAATTCATTGTAGCAAAACATGATGAGTCAATAAAGAATTAAAAATAAACAAAATTGGAAAGAAGTAGATCTTTTAGAAATGCATGGAATGATTGTTGAGGTGGACTGTGTCAGAGTAGACACAGCTGACGAGAGAATTGGTGAACTGGAAAGAAAAGCAAGGATTTTTCCCGATACGAAATTAAACCTTAAAGTATGGCTGTGGGACTGCACAATAGACATGAATATTTATGTGTCTTAATAATTCATGAGCAGTATCATCTGTGTACTGGGAAGTGGTTGGAGAGATTACACCTAGGGGTTGATAGTTGGTATCACAGATACGCCACGCCTGGGAGAGCAGTGACTCTAAGAGGTGAAAAACATCAAATGCTTGAAGGAAGCAGCTTATTGTAGGAAGAATTTTTTTCTGCTTCATGATTTGAGGAAGTACAGTCAATCATGGTAATAAAGCATGGTGATAGGATGGGCAGCAGGACCAGATTATGGGTGGTGCTGCTGGAACTGAGGCAACCGGTGACTTTATGGGCAAATCAGGAAGCAGAGAGCTAAGGCTGAAAATTGGGGGACTATGCCTCATATATCTCAAAGCCTGTCCCAAGCAACCCATTTCCCCAGTGAGACTTCCCGAAGATGTCACAGCTTTCTCAGGCACTGTCTTAGTGAGGGTTTCTATTGCTGTGAAGAGACACCATGACCACAGCAAATCTTGCAAAGGAAAACATTTAATTGGGTGGCTTACAGTTCAGAGGTTCAGTCCATCATCCTCATGGTGGGACATGGTGGTTGTTCAGGCAGATATGCTGTAAGAGGGGTGGCTGAAGAGTTCTGCATCTTGTAGAGGAAACAGGAAGTGAACTGAGACACTGGATGTGGCTTGAGCATTGAGACCTCACAGTGTATCCCATCCCCACAGTGACATACTTCTTCCAATAAGGCCATACTTACTCTAACAAGGCCACACCTCCCAATAGTGCCACTCCGTAGGAGCTTATGGAGGCCAATTGCATTCGAACTACCACATTCCACTCTCTGACCCCTATAAGCTTGCAGTAATATCATAATCCAATATGGGTTTGGTCCAACTTCAAAAGTTTCCACTGTCTTTCCCAGCCTCAACAATGTTTTAAAGTTCAAAGTCTCTTCTGAGACCCATGCAATCTATTAACTGTAATCTCCCATAAAGTCAAAATGAAAAAAGCAGATCATATACTTCCAACATAGGATATACATGACTGATCCAAAACAGGGAATGGAGCACAGTGAGGCAATGCTGGACCAAAGCAAGACCAAAAACCATCTGGGCAAACTCTAAACTCTGCGTCTCCATGTCTGATGTCAAAACGCTCTTCAGATCTCCAATTCCTTTCAGATTTGTTGACTGTAGCACACTTTTTCTCTTGAGCTGGCTCCACTCCCTGTTATCAACTCTCCACGGCAGATATCCCAAGATCCTGGCATCTCCAACATCTTGGGGTCTCCAAGATGATCCAGGCTTCAACTTCATAGTGTCCAGAATTGGTAGCACTGTTTGGGGGAAGCTTGGGTGTCACTGTGTTGGAGGAGGTATTCTAAAGACTAATACCATTTTAAATTATCTTTCTGCTTCCTTCTTGTGGTCTAAGATGTGAGCTCTCAGCTTCCAGCTCTAGCCGTCATGCCTCCACTCTGCCACCCTAGAGTCTTGTCCTTCTGCAACTCCAAATAAGCTTTCCTCTATTAGCTGTGTGTTCATGATTTGTCCCCACAATAGAAAAGCAATGGATACAAACAGCAGCAGGATATAAGGACAGGTGAAGAATCCACATCTGATAAACATTAACAATACGAAAGTAAAAATGGAGCAAGCCACGCTCAAGCCACAGCATGACAATGTTAGCGTGAGGAGCCAGAGGAAAGAGAGCCTGCCTCCACAGGCTACTATGGAGAAGCTTTTTATTAAAGCATAATTGACAAGACCTCCTATCTCCAGTGGCTTGGAGCTGTTTATTACAGAAGTATTCCACCACCAAATAACTGCTTATAGATGTAGCTTCCAGCTAGACTCTCTCCATGTCCTGCCTGGATAAACGGTGATTACGTCTGTCTGAGATCAAGGGTGACGACTCTCTCTCAGCATCTCTGCTCATTTGGTTGCTCATCTTTTCACATCAACACTTCTGATATTTTGACTGCAAAGCTTTCTTTAAAGTCCGGAAATGACTTTTCTTCAGGGGGCTCAGCCACTGTCTCTGTCCAGCCATTTTCCACTTTCCACTTCTGCCCACCCCACAGCAGATGACCTCTTCTTTCCCTAGTAGTGACCACAAGGAGCTTCTGAGTCATTCTTGGCTCGGTCCCTGTAGTAGGAGCTGCGGGTTGCATTCTGCCACCCAGCTCCTGCCACCTGGTGTCAGAAGTGGGATTGATCGGGATATCAGAATTAGCCAGTAAGGGCTAAAACTAATGGGTCAAGCAGTGTTTAAATGAATACAGTTTGGCGCCCAATGTGGGGCTCGAACCCACAACCCTGAGATTAAGAGTCTCATCCTCTACCGACTGAGCTAGCCGGGCTAC